CAACACCGTCGCCTTTCACCCATGGTCCTGCTCCTCGGGATGCTAATGGTGACGACCCTACGGATGGAGAGGTGGCTGCCGCGCGCGCCCAGTCGCCCTTCGCGGCCGCGGCCCAGCCTGTTGCCGCGCCGCCCGCGCCAGCTCAACAGCGTGCAGCTGGCGCGGCCGCCGATGGTGAATGTGCAGTAGCAGCAGCAGCGGCAGCAGGCAGCGACGATGGCCTCGACACGCCCGTGCCTGGCCTCGACAGTGACGACTTGGAATCATTATTCTAGTGGGCCAACGTTGTCTGGGCGGCCCTCGCCCCCCCCCGGCGTCCCATTATAATGTTAAAGAGGTTTGTCAGATGTGGTGTCGCGTTCCTTTAGATGAAGGGGTGGCGTGGGAGAACTCTAGAGGGTCCACCCGGAGAATGCATCTTTGGATGCACCGCTTAGGCTGGTGCGGTACGTTGGGTTTAACGTGGGGGGGGCGACTGCGGGCGTGAGGTCAACCTCGCCTACGTCTCTCCTTGCATGGTTGGCCATCTTTTGTCTCTTGCCAGCCAGCGACAACTCGAGCGGCACATGGCTGGATAATCCCATGGTATTAATGGGCACCGTGTGACCCTGGACCCGCTCCAAAATCTCCTGGGGCCGCGATCTCGGTTTCCCCCACGGGAAACGCATTTGGCCACCGCAGTTTCTGTGGAGGACTGGGCGTGTGCGCGGGGGCGCGCGCCGCAGGATGCCAGATTGATGGAAGATGCCCTCTGTGCGCTGGAGTGGACAGCCCTCGGCGCCGTGTTTGGCATTGTCAACGTGAGGTGGCCCGAGCTGCGGGAGCGACAGCAGTGCCGAGCGACAGCAGTGGGCGCTGGCGTCGGAAGATCGGTTTCCTAGGTGCGAACTCAAGCCCCCCCGCCCCGAAGCCGCCCGCCCCCCGCCGCGTGGTGGCCCTGGCCCCCGTCTGTGCAACCCCCAGGGAGAGCGGGTTGAATGGGGGTCCATCGACTTGCAGCGGTGCGAAGTGTGCATCGACGGGTTTTGTTGCCGTCACGCTGTGCGAGAGATAAGCCGCGCCTTTTTCGTTTTTTTTTTGGGTGGGGGGCTGGTGAGGAGATTATTGCGTGCGCCAAAGGGAACGGTGTGGGACGTCCTCCCCCAGGCCCCTCAAGCCGCGGAACATCGGGCAATGGCGATGATCCCAGCTTTTGCGCAGTACTCCGGCCAGCGTTCCAGCGACTGCATGGCCGCGGCCAAGGCGTGCTTGACCACGCTTGGCCGCGAGGCGTTGGCTCGATACAGGGCCGGAGGATGGCCAGGTGGGGGTGGAGATGAGGAGGGGGAGGAAGAGGAGGAGGGGGAGGAAGAGGAGGAGGGGGGGAGGAGGAGGGGGGGGAGGAGGAGGAGGAGGGGGAGGAGGAGGAGGAGGAGGAGGAGGAGGAGGAGGAGGAGAGGAGGAGGAGGAGGAGGAGGAGGAGGGTGGGCGCTGCTTCACGAAAGCCACGACCACGCCCCTAGTGCCGCCCCCGCCCCCGCCCGCCGATCCGAGGAAGGCATTCGTGCGCTGTCTCGCCCGTGGAAGAGAGGATTGCCGTTGGTGTACCAGCCTTGCGGACACCCTTGCCAAGTCCGCCCTTCTCCTCCACCTTCTTCGGGAGAAGAGAACCATGCACATGCACCGATCCTGGCAAGGCCCATCCTTGACCCAGGATCGGTGCATATGCCTTCCTGGCCAAGGTAGGAGGGCGCATGCACCGATCCTGGGCTTAGGATGGGCCTGGCCAGAATCGGTGTATGTGCATAATTCTTTTTCCTCTACTTCTCCCCTCTGCTGAAAACGAGCTTATCGACTGTAATCTAACTCGTGCCAAATTTCGCGGCCCGTGTCATGGCCAATGTGTTGGGGCCCTTGAGGCTGAAAATTTGAGCGCCCCGCCCTTGGACCCAGAGGCGTTTCCTCAAGTCTGGGGGATGGCGCGCGTGGGAAGTTTTGGAGGGAGGCCGCGCTAGATGTATACGGTGCCTCTTGTTCAGTCGCGAGGTCTCATCTAGGCCCATGATAGGCTGCCTTGGTTTCAATATGACCTGGCAAGGTGTTCTTGATCTTCCCGAGGGCCATACTCTGGCCCACACTCGAGTCACCCAGAAAAGTGACAAGGAGTCTACCATGTGTTTCTGTACCACGTGCGGGGCTTGCACTGAGCGCCGCTGCTTTCTCCACAGACGAGACTGCCCTTTACGTGAGATTTCGGGAGCCCCGACCACACTTAGGAGAATCTCTGAAGGCCTGCACCCACATTGTTGTGAGGGGGGTGCTCGACTTAGCGTGTCCAGCCGCGAAGTCACGGCATGTGTGCAGTATGCATCTACGCTTCCTCCGCCCCCCGAGCTTCGCCAGCCGCCAAGGGTCTGGACGTCCTTTCGCAGACAGCGGGAACGGCAGCTCTGTTGGCGCGGGTGCAAGCGAGAGAGCTGGCGGCCAAGCAGGCTGCCGCCAGCAGCAGCAACAGCAGTGGCTCCCGAGGGGCAGCCCTGTCGTGGCGGACTGATTGGGCATTTCGGAGCCTGCTCCATATTTGTCTGGACATGTCTGGCTGGTCTTCGCCTTTCGTTTCTTCTTGTGCGTTGCTGGCTTGTGCCAGCGCGCTGCTTCCCTCGCCGCGGTGGCAGCGGCACTGTTCAGACATTTAAAGGACTGCCCTATATTCGTCTGGGTTTTTGGTGGAGTCGTGGGTCGGGTCCTGTTCTGGGGTTGCCCCGAGACAACGCCAGCCCTTTTTAGCCCCGAATGGTCCCGTGATTGGCTAGAACGGGGCCGTTCTAGTATAGAACGGGATCGTTCTAGTGTAGAACGGCCCCCTTTCTTGCCCTGGTGGCGCCCGGCAGAGCTTCGCCTTTTAGTTATTCTCGCTCAGTCTGTGTGCGCGGGTATAATCTCCGAGCCTGCCTGTTATCACCTCTTCTCGTGCCGTCCATGGTGTTATATCCATGGGCGGTATCGCCCAGCCTGCTGACTGTGCGGACTGGCCGCGCTGATCTTGGGGTCAACCTTGTGGCGAGAAAGGGCGCGTTGCAGGCTGCGCCTCTGTCCCCTAGGCCCTGGGCAGGATGCTCAGTGGCCTTTCCCGCCCCGTGGGCGTCACGGGCAGCCGCCTCTGCGCGCTGCCAGGTCCGACGTTCAGCATTGGACATGTTTTGTTTTGTTTGTGTTCAGGGAGGGTGGCTCTTGCGCACCATTCACGCCCTGTTGGGCTACGTTGGCAGCGTCAATCGGCTGCCATGTCCGACGAACAGCGTCGGACACCCCGTCAGTTTCAGGGAGGGCGCTCACAGTGCGTGCCCTCCAACGTGGGCAGCACTGCTGCCCCCTCTCGGTCCTGCCTGATGGCTCGCGGAGGAAAATACCTTTCCCTTCCCCTCCTTGTGATATGTATTATATGAAGTTCTGAGCAGCTTTCCGGAGTCACGAACGTATGGCGGGGCTTTGGGGATCTCACCATAGCATGTTTCCGAAGTTACGAACGTGTGGCAGGGCTAGGTAGTCGTCGTCGGCGTCGTCGTCGTCGTCTTCGTGCGACGACGACGATGACGACTTCATCTTTCGTCGTCATGCCTCGCACGCACGACTTGTCCGGACAATCCCTTTATCATCCCCCCGGGACCCCGCATTTTGTTATACCCCGTGTGTTATTATCAGGGGCGCAGGGCTATGATTATGGCGTGGGTGCTAACATGATGGTGATGATGATGGCACAGGGTTATCATCATCGTCATGGTTGTTCATGATTTCGATGATGATGCAACTGGTGACGATGCTGCTCATGATGCTGGTGGCGATGACGATTATGATGATGATGGTGAAGATGGGTATGATGATGATATTGATTGTAGAGTGATGGTGGCGATGCTGGTGATGGCGATGATGATGCTGGGTATGCGTTGATGATCGCGATGATCGTAATGATGATGGTGGTGATGCTGATGATCATGCTGATGACGATTCCGAAATGCCTATGAAAATGGTGTGGAAGAGGGGGTGATGAGATGAAGAAGACGATGATGATGATGATGATGATGATGATGATGATGATGATGATGATGATGATGATGATGATGATGATGATGATGATGATGTCGATGTTGTTGTTGATGATGTTGATGATGATGGCGATGATGCTGCTGCTGATGATGATGTCGATGAGGATGCTGCTGCTTCTGATGATGATACTGATGATGATGCTGCTTTTGATGATGATACTCATGACGATGACGATGGCAACGGCGACGATGCTGATGCTGATGCTGATGATGAGGATGAGGATGATGATGATGAAATAGAAGAGGAAGACGATGAGGATGATGATGATGATGATGATGATGATGATGATGATGATCAGCATTATGAGGATGCTGCTGCTGATGATGGTCAAGTTGATGATGATGCCCATGATGATGCTGCTGCTGATGATGATTTTGATGATGATGCTGATGATGATGATGATGATGATGATGAGGATGAGGATGAGTATGATGATGATGATGATGTTGCTGATGATGATGATGATGATGATGATGATGATGGTGATGATGATGATGATGACGATCATCATTGTGTTGATGCTGGCTGTTGATGATGATGACGATGATGATGAGGACTCTGGTACTGATGATGATGCTGCTTCTGCTGGTGATCATGATGATGCAGATGACGATAAAGATGATGATGACGATGATGATGATGATGATGATGATGATGATGATGATGATAATGATCATGATTATGATGATGATGATGATGATGATGATGATGATGATGATGATGATGATGCCGCTGATGATGATGATGTGATGATGATGATGATGATGATGATGATGATGCTGAGGATGATGCTGATGATGATGCTGATGATGATGATGATGCTTCTGATGATGATGATGATGAGCTTAGAGAATAGTGAATAGAGATGGAGCATTCGGAAGAGGAGGCTCGATGATGAAGGCGCCGTCGCCTGTCAGGTGAGCCCCCCGCCCTCTCAGCTGCTGACCGGGGACACTTACTGGACCAAGAACAAGCTGCCCGACATGGACGTCCTGTTCGAGCACCTGAACCTTGAGGGTCTCCTCTCACAGGAGCTGCTGCTCGAGATCATCAAGAAGGCGCTTCCGTCCCCGAGGATGAGGGGAATGAAGGATGATGAAGTTGTTGTTGATGATTATGGCGAGGAAGAACATGATGATGATGATGACGATGATGATCATGATGATAATGAGGACGAGGAGGAGGAGGATGAGGATGCTGCTGATGATGATGATGATGATGGTGCTGATGATGATGTTGCTGATGCTGATCCTGATGATGATGCCGATCATGATGATGCTGCTGATGATGCTAATAATAATGATGATGTTGCTGATGATGATGATGGTGAAATGATGATGATGTTGATGCTGATGATGATGATGATGATGATGATGATGATGGTGATGGTGATGGTGATGGTGATGGTGATGGTGATGGTGATGGTGGTGGTGATGTTGTTGATGATGATGATGATGGCGCTGCTGCTGTTGATGATGATGATGATACTGATGATGGTGATGATACTGATGATGAGGATGATGAGGATGATGAGGATGATGATGCTGCTGCTGCTGCTGATGATGATGATGATGATGATGATGATGATGATGATGATGATGATGATGATGATGATGCGGAGGAGGAGGAAGAGGAGGAGGACGATGAGGAGGAGGAGGAGGAGGAGGAGGAGGAGGAGGATGATAAGGAGAAGACGGAGGAGGAGGAGGAGGAGGAAGCGGTTTGCAGCGTTCTGGATCGAACCCCAATGACACCACTCTTGAGTTCTGAGGAGGAGGAGCAGGCGGAGGAAGGGAAGGGAAGGTAATGGAAGGGACGGAAGATGAGAGGAGAGAGGGAGGAGAGAAGGAGGGGGTAGTATTTGAAGATCTATGGGGGTGTTTTGGGCTTTTTGGTTTCGAGGGTGTTCGAAGGCATTTCATATGGAAGAGGAGAAAATCAGGTTACGTAGGTCAGGGTTCGCTTGGAGCGTGTGTGACAGTCCTGTGCTCGATCTACATGCGCTGCGGTCCGTCATGCCGGGAGCGCCTTCCAAACCTGGGGGAGGTAATGCAGACATGGCCAGTACGCGTGCATTCCTTCCGGAGGCGGCGATCGCCACAGGCAGTAGAGGAACAAGAAGTGAAGCAGAGGCCAGCGGTATCGCAATGGGTGGTGCGACCTTCTCGAAGGCGTCGTCTCCCAATCCCCACTCCCGTCCGATTCAGGAAGCACGACTATGAATGCTGTCTTTTCGGCTGCTGGCTTGCGTGTCTGCAATCTGGTCAAGAGAAGGTCTGTGAGCATTGTGCATGCGGGGGTATGCGCACACACGCGCACACACCCAAAGCGAAGCAACGGCCTTTACATCACATCCGAGTCGAGGCTGATGGCTCAGGATCGGGTTCCTTAGCTCGAGGCTCAGGGCTCACTCTCTGCCCTCTGGAAGGGTCTGGCACTAGATGTCAGCCAGCGCAGATTCCAAATAGATCAGACGGCTGAAGGTATTTGACTGGAGTGGACTGAAGTAGGCTGGACTGGAGTAGACTGGACTGGACTGGGGTGGAGTCTACTCCACTCCACTCTGCTCTGCTAGGCTCTACTCTACCCTAGTCTTTTCTACCTAACTATACTCTTCCGTCTACACGTCTCTACTCTGCTGTACCCTGACCTATTCTATTATCAGGGTGAGGGGGCCGAACGTTCATTCACTGTCCCTGGGTGCGTGGCTGAAGTGGGATTCCGCAGTGCGGATTATTGTTGTTGTTGTTGTTGTTGTTGTTGTTGTTGTTGTTGTTGTTGTTGTTGTTGTTGTTGTTTTTGTTGTTTGATGTTTGTTGTTTGTTGTTTGTTGTTTGTTGTTTTTGTTTTTGTTTTTGTTTGCTGTTTGTTGTTTGTTGTTTGTTGTTTGTTGTTGTTGTGTGTTGTCGTCGTCCCACCCGCAATCCGCCCCGCGACCCACCCGCGACCCACCCCGCGACTCACCCCGCGACCCACCCGCGACCCACCCGCGAACCCACCCGTGACCCACCCCGCGACCCACCCCGCGACCCACCCCGCGACCCACCCGCGACCCACCCGCGACGTTCAGGGTACAAACCACATTTTTCGGCGCCTGCGGCGGGCATTTTTTGCATTCGCTTCAGGTGGAGAGCCCGCGGCCCACCCGCGACCACGTTCAGGGTACAAACCACATTTTCGGCGCCTGCGGCGGGCATCTTTTGCATTCGTTCCCGGTGGAGAACCCGCGGCCCACCCGCGACCCAAACCACGTTCAGTGTACAAACCAACTTTTCGGCGCCTGCGGCGGGCTGCTTTTGCATTCCTTCCAGGTGGAGGTGGAGAGCCCGCGACCCACCCGCGACCCAAACCACGTTCACTGAACAAACCAATGCCGCACAAGCGCGGCGGCGGATTTTTGCATGCCGTCTGAGCCCGCAACGACCTCTTCAAGCCCCGCGCATCCACGCCAGCCCGTCCAGCAACTTTGCCCTGGCGAGTTGCCTTGATCAGAGAAGTCGGGGAGCATAAAGTGGAAAAAGGATTGCGTTGCCGTTATCTTGGGAAAGGAGGGGGAGGCAGGAGGAGTAAACAGGGGACGAGGAGGACGCGGAAGAAGAGAGGATGTAAGGATAATGTGGAGAAAGAGGAGGAGGAGGAGCAGGAGGACGAGGAGGGGGAGGAGGGGGAGGAGGGGGACGAGGAGGACGAGGGAGGAGGAGGGGGAGGAGGAGGATGATGGACGACAATGGGAGGACGATGATGGAGGCCGATGAGGGGGAGGACGACAATGGGAGGACGATGATGGAAGGACGAGGGGGGGAGAGGGAGGACGAGGAAGAAGGAGGAGGAGGAGGACGAGGTGGAGGAGGAGGATGACGATGACGATGAGGACGAGGACGAGGACGAGGAGAGGAGGGAGGAGGAGGAGGAGGAGGAGGAGGAGGAGGAGGAGGAGGAGGAGGAGGAGGAGAGCGCCATCGACAGGGAAGGTGGGGGCCACGAGGTCCGCCGGCTCGACGACGCCCGCGTCGCCCGCGCCCGCCCCCTCACTCTTATCCGCAATTGCGGGGTGCTACGTACCCTACTCTACTCTACTCTATTATACTCTGCTTTACGCGACTCTACCATACCCGACTATACTCTACTCTATTCAACTTTACTTTCACTTTGCTGTACTGTACTGTGCTGTGCAGTACTCCACTTTACTCTACTCTCGTCTTCTCTACTCTGCTCTATTCTACCCGGCTCTACTATAACATCTGTCCTGCACTACTCTGCAATTGCCTGTCCTATTTTATTTTACAACTCTACCCGACCATACTTTATTCTACTCTATTGTATTCTACTCTACCATACCCTCCGTGGCCATTTTTTGCTTCAGATGCTGTCTCCTCTGGGTGTTTCCACGGACATCGCTGGTCCGCAGCCAGTTCTCAATTGAGTTTCCACGTCCGGGGCTGACTCTGGCTTTCCATGTCCAGGGGCTTGGCGCCGACACCGACTGGAGCAGAGTTTGTTGTTCTACGTGGGCCGCGAACCCCGTGCTGGACGTGCCGTTGTGGCATCATCACCAATTGGGCTTCGAGGTTAAGGTGCCGCGAATGCGACCAAAAGGGCTCCTGCAAAGTGGCCAGCGAGGCTGGGAATAACCAAAAGCTCGTGGGGTTCGGTTGCAGTGCAATCCTTCCGCCACCCAGGGGAGCATGGGCGCCATCAGTTACATCGGCCACGGAGCACAGTCCATGGGAGTTCAATCGCTTCGGGCAGCACGCCCAACATACCGAGGAACTTCGGAAGTCTCTCGCGTACCTCAATCGCGAGGTGACGTCAGCTAAGCAGGCAACCTTCATCGAACTCAGGGAAGATATCTGAGGGGGTGACGCAGTCAAGGACATCGCCCACGCGCTCAGGAAGCTGGCCGTCAAGTACGAGGAGACGCCGAGGCCCCCGACGCTGGGCTCCCATCGGGCGGCGAAGAGTCAATTGGAGAAGCAGAAAGGCAAGCGCCCACAGAAGCTTGGCGATCTGGAGGTTCAGCAGTCCCAGATCGCGGGGGAAATCGAGCGCAAGCAGCGTCCCACGGAGCTCGACAGCCAGCTCGCCGAGGCAGACGCCAACGCCAAGAAGGTTCATGAGTCAGGGCTGGAAGGAGCAGGACTCGACGAGCTCAAAGCCGCTGTCGAAGTCAGCAGGCCCAAGCGCTGCGTGGAAGGCAACACCAGGGTCGACGCGGCTTGCGAGGCGTCGCCACCCTCCAGGAGGCAGCCGGCGAAGCCAAGACGGGAGGTGGCGCACCTGTGGAAGGGGCTGCCGACGGTGCTGGTAGTGGCGGTCTCAAGCCCGGTGCTGGTGGGGCGCCTGCCTGCGGCCCTGGAGATGGCTGTGGAAGAGGCGGCGACAGCACCAAAGCAAAAACCACATTGGGGTGGCCCAGACCTGCTGGACAACCTCGCCGCCGAAGAACCGCCAGATGAAGGGCCAGAGAGCAGTGGGAAGCGCCTCGCGGGTACCCTGGCAGCATCAGCCAAGCGGCGAAAGGTCCAGCGGCGCCTGGGGCCACGCGGTCAACGCCAACGCTGACTGCAAGTTTCGCGACGACCTCGGCTGGATGGAGGAGATGGCCCGCGCGCTGGGGCTGGCGGGGCGGGGGGGCCAGGGGTGCTCGCCCCGACGCGGACCGCCCGCGGCCAGATGGGGTCTTGGTGATGCAGACCAGAGTCAGGGAGTCAGGCCCTGAGCAGAACGCACGACGGCAAGACGAATTGGGCTGAGATATCAACCTCGCGGCAGAAGAGGTCGTGCGCGAGGCGGACAAAGTAGTCTCGAGCGATGGCGGCCGGGGGCGGAGATGCGCTGGGTCGCGGCCGGGGGCAGCTCCGACCACCTTCAGTTGAGCGGGGTGCTGAGTCGGCTCTTCGAGGGCCACGGCGAGATATGGATCGGCACTCTCGCCATCTACCTGCGCGACGGGGAGGGGTTCGGTGACGACGTGTCCGATGTCCTCTGGGGCCTGGCCGTTGGGCCGAGGGGTGCCAGGCGCCCATTGATCGTTGCGCAACTGCAACAGGGGGCCGTGCAGCCAGGCGGCCGGGGCGGACAGCGCCAGGGGCGCCCCGCTCACCGCGTGGGAGGCCACGTGCTGGACTGGTGATCTCCGAGCTGGACTTCATTGCCGCCGGCGAGGAGCCCCCGCCCCGCCTGACCCAGAGGGCCCAGCAGCCGTGGCCTTGGAGCAGGGGCGCAGCGGCAGCGGCGGCGCCGGCTAAGTGCAGGCTGGGCTGGGGGCTGCAGGGCAGCAGACGCGTCACGACTGACGCGGGCCGTCCGACCTCCAGAGGATTTCCGCTGCGCCAGCGCAGGAGATGGAGGCGATCCAACAGTGCATGGTTCTCCTGGGCGGGCCGGTGCAACCCTGCGACCTTGGGCGCTGGGGCAAAAGCCCCGCGCGACGAGGTGGGCCCCGCGTCGGGTGCTCTGGGCGCCGTGGCGAGGCCCGGCTGCTTCGATCGCTGCGATGGTTGGTCACGGCATGGCGCTGCCCCGACGCGTCGGCGCGCGACGGGGTTCGGCCAAAAGTGGCGCGAAACGCGCGCCTGCAACTGCGTGCAGCACCCCTGCTTTGACTGCGTCGTCGAGAGGCAGGCTGTCGACCGCGGCGGTTCACTGGGGGCGACGCGGCAGGCCTTGGCGCCGGAGATCTGCGACAACGCATGGCGCGAAAGCCGCTCCGGGAGACTATCGCTTCGGCGCGGCTTCCAGAGGCTCCGCGATCGGCGCGATGAGCTCAATCGTCGAGAACTTCTGAGAGGTCACGGCGGGGTCAGCGCTCTGAGCCCTGCAAGTCGTCCACAGGGGCGCAGCGGCGTCATCCCTTGACGTCGTCTTCGGCCTCCGCGTGGTCGCCGAGATGGGGGGCTGTGCGCCCGGGCGGGGCCCCGCGAGATCACGCGCCACGCGGCAGTCATCAGCCTGAAGGGGCCAGACACTGAGCAGCCCGACGAGGAGGAGGGTTGCGCGGTCGGAAACGCTTCCACCGGGGCGAGACAGGCCACGGCGGAGGCCGCAGTCGCGGCGGCGGCGGCCCTTGGTCGCGGCCGCAGTCGCGGCCGCAGTCGCTCCAATGCTTCGCGCCAGTGGTCTTCCGCGGCGGCGGCGGGGGCGGCCCGTCCGTCGGGCGGCCGGCGGCGCGGGCGGCGTGTGCCCATGGGGCTTCGCGAGCCGCGAGCAGGTCCAGCGGCGCGCCTCGGGCTCATAGCATCCCGCGCCCCTGCCCGACTCGGGGCCCGCGGCCAGAGGGGCCGCGGCCGCGGCCGAAACGGGCCCGCCGGGCCAAGCCTCCTCGCGCGGGGGGACGCGTGAGACGCAGGCTTGGGGCCAGGCGCTCGCGCGGCCGCCGAGTTGGCGCGCGGGCTCGGGTGGCCAGGGGCGGCGGGCCAGGGCGGGCAGGAAGCCCGAGAGGAAGGGCGCGTCGATGGCGGCCCGCGACCGCCGCGGCGGGGCGGGCCCAAGGGCGGATGCAGCTACGGCGGCAGTCTCGGCGGCGCCGTGTCCCGCGGGGGATGCTCCCGCCCTTGCCTCAGCCGCGGCGCCGAGCCCAATGGCATCGACGTTTCCGCGGCTGGGCAAGTCGCCTTCGGTAGCGCTCAGCAGGCGCGGCATCTCAATTGAAGCAGCTGGAGGTGCCCAGAAGCGCGTGCAGACTCGTGGCCGCGCGTATCGCCCCAGAGGCGACCTCGGCGGCGCCGCCCGCGAGGTGGGCCCCAGTCGCGGCGAGCACGGGTAAGCGTGAGCCAGCTCTCTACCGCGCGGCGCTCGGCTCGCGCGCGCCCGCCTCGCCCGGGGCGCCACGCTGGGGGCTCGAGCGTGGAGGGCCTGTTGGCGTGTTGGCCACGGGCGCGGGCTGCCCCCCGCCAGGCGGGCGCTGCTGCCAACCCGTGGTCGCCCTACCATGTGCTATTCAAGTCTTCGATAGTTTGCTCTTCATTTACTCTGCTGTATTCCACCTGGCTCTACTTTGCCATCTACTTCTGATGAGCCGTCTGCTAGCTATTGTGTTCCACTCTGCCCTCGCCAACTCTGCTCTGACTCTCTACTCTGGCTCCCTATGCTGTCATGTTTTCCTCTACTCCGCTTTATTGTTCTGCCCTTCCTGATGGCTTCCTCCATTACTCCTACGCTACTCTGTCCGGTTATTTTCTTACCCTTACCCTACTCTACTCACCCCTACTCTATTCTACTCTTCTCTACCCCTGCTCCGCTCTATTTTTTTCTGCTCTGCTGCGCTCCCATCCTGCTCGACTCTGCTCCATTATTATCTACTCTACTCTGCTTTCCTTTGCTCTAATCCACCTTGTCCTGCCATGTTCTACTCTATTATACTCTGCTCTATTTGTGTTCATCTACGCTCCTCTACCTTGCTCTGCTCAACTCTACTCTGCTCTACTTTACCTTCGTTGGCATTATTTTACATTTCTACTTCCGATATTGTCAAAAGTTGGGCGATTGCTCGGGCGCCATTGGAATCGCCACTGGAAGCCAGTGCGGTAGCAGGGGCAACCATTGCGATACCAGAGGGGACCATTGCAATGACAGAGGGATCCATTGCATCAGCAGAGGAAGTCATTGCCATTTGATGCAGGTGGAGAGACCCGTGGGCCATTTCTCTACGACTTGAGCAAGGACTCCTGTCGCCAATCGTATTTGGATCATAACACGATGTGCTTCAAAGTTCGTCCAGGGAATGCTGCATTCTCAAGAAGAGTCTGACATGTTGTTCCGATTCGACCTCTTGTCAATATATTTGGCCAGGCACCATCATCGTGTCTACAACTCGCGATTCCGCGGCGCACAGCGTGTCTCCCATCCACGGCCCCTCCATGCAAGAGCGCTGCGATTCCAACGTTGCCATGGCAACGCAGAGGGCGAAGAGCGATGATTTGCGGAAGAGTACCGTTGCCGCGAGTATGGTCCTGACATCCGTGCGGTCGAAGTGGTCTTGCAGCATCTAACACGTCGCCGTCCTCGATCCTCGTGTACTGCATCAGCAGCGGTTGGAGTCTCGGAGCCAACCTGTGCATTTTGCTCGTGTTGGCCACTTCGCTGCCTGTCATGAACCCATCAACCGGACCTGGGTAGCGCATGTCCGAGTATCCGAGCGGTCCCAACCCATCGCGGCTGTCTTGGAGGTGCGGCACGTATGGGATATTCAAAGCCCAGCGCAGATGGCGCTCTGCGTGCACACCGCCTCGCCCTGGTGAGACTGCGGCGGATCTCGCCGCATTGCGGAAGGAAATGTTAGTTTCCAGTCCGCGAAAGTCGTGGGAACATCAGTTCGTGTAAGCCCTCGGCAACCGAGTGCCCTGTCCGGCAGGGCCGCTTCGGTGTCGACGTCGGTGGTAGTTGCCCACGGGGTCTAACATGTGTCAACGGCGTGCTGTAGTGGATAGGTACGCACGATCACCAGCATCAACAGCGGTAATGTCATTCGTTTCTACAGTCGCATCCCTCATCCTATGCTTGCCCGCAACGCTGCTGTATCCACGTGTTGATTCACAGCCGGGAGTCGCGTGAGCCTTTAGACGGCTGGCATTTGGCAGTTTGTGTTCCGAATCTGCTCGCCTACGGTAGGTTCGCGTCGCGCCGACCGGCGGCGACCCGAGCGCTGGCGTTCAAGGTTGAACGCCGCCCGTGGCCCAGAATCGGCCCATCGGAGAACGATCTGTCGTTTCTGAAACGGCCGACCGTTCAAGTTCGAGCGATCCCCGCGGTGTCAGGAACCAGCGCTGGGGTCGACACGACGTGAACCTGCCGTCGTCGGTCGCCAGGCCTGGTTTCGGAGGCCATGCTGCAGTGCCATTCTATATGTGCGCCCCTCCACTGCTTGCGGGGTCTGCTCCTCTTCGGAGACATCCGCCGACCCGTCCTGCAGGCGAGCGGTCACGTTTGCCATGGCACTCGGCATCGCTCGGGCGCGTGCATTTTTTCTTCAGCGAGGCCAGCGCCAGAAATCCTGGACCGTCTAGGAGCATCTTGGATCATCCGGCGAATAAGCGCACGAAAACCGAACAGTGCATGGGGAATGGACGTCCGAGCGATGGTCAAGTCTATGGTGGGCCTCATGATTTGTGTCTGTGTGGAACGTCTGCCAACGAGCTGATTCCGAATCCCCCGTCCCCTTTCTCTCCGCCTCTTCCTGACTTCGGGCCTCTTGAGCACTTTGGCCGTGTTGGGGCGATTTCCAGTTTGCAGTCTACCACGCCTCAACGTTCCGGTGGGCACGGTGGCTGATTTCTTATGCTCTTATTCTCTCTTTCTGTAGTTGAGCCTGTTTCCCTTGCTATGAGAGGCATCAGAGACCTTCGAGGCAGAGCCCAACCTCTTGAAGCTGAACGACCCGATCACGGTGGTGGGCGACATCCACGGGCAGTACTACGACCTCGTGAAGCTGCTGGAGGTCGGAGGACCCCCTGGCGACAACCAGTACATCTTTCTAGGTGATTATGTGGACCGAGGGTCTTTCTCAGTCGAGGTAGTGATCACAATGTTTTCCATGAAGATTCGTTATCCCAAGAGAGTTTGGATGCTTCGTGGCAACCACGAGTGCCGGCAGATGACGAGCTTCTTCAACTTTCGAGAGGAGTGCGAGTACAAGTACGACATCAGCGTCTACAATGCAATTATGGACTCGTTCGACAATTTGCCCTTGGCTGCAACCATCAATAGTAAGTTCTTAGCCGTCCACGGTGGGCTGTCGCCGGATTTGCCAAACGTCAAAGCGATCAACAAAGTAAACCGTTTCCAGGAGCCTCCCAAGGAGGGCTTGTTGTGCGATCTTCTCTGGTCCGACCCTTTGGAGCCGAAGGAGGACCAGCCAGTGAAGTCCAAGAAGACCAGTCCTCCTTTCATTCCAAATGAGGCCTTCAGGGCTTTATCTTTCTGTATGCGTTCCATCATGACTTGTGCCAGTCTTTCTATCCAGCCCAGTCTCTTCTGTCAAGGCAGGTCGCAAATTGTTCTCTCGTTCTTGTCCTCTCGATAAGTTCGGCACTCCACAACATAATCTTTGGTTCCCAAGTTCTCTCGTTCTTCCGCTCTTGCCCCCTTGCCCTCACTGTCACTCTCGATTCCATCCTGCCTGGTGATTTCCCATTATTGCTTTCTCGCTGTCCCGCTCTCTCTCTCTGCCGCGCTCTCTCTGCCTCTGCCCCTTTTCGCGCTGCCTCTTGCTACCTCTTTTCGTCTGCCTGTCTGCCTCTCTCTCTCTCTTTCTCTTCCCCCCTTGGAAACATACACATAAATATATACACACATGTATGCATACCCAACAGATCTACATGTTCCTTGCTATCTCTTTGTCTTTGTTTCCTCTGGCTCTCACCCTGTCTCCCTTCAAAGCCTCCCTCGCTCCCTTCGTTTCCTCCCTCTCTCTATATCTCTTGCCTCATTCATCTCCATCTACGTCCCTGTATGATGTTCAATCGCTCGCTCTCTGGCCTTCTCTGGCCTTCTCTCTTGATCTATCCGATTTTACAGCTGCCCCTATCATCTCTGAGTTCGTCAATGCTTCTATACAGTAGCTTGTTGTTTCCTGTGCATCTCTGGCCCTCCATATCGACCGCCCTTAGTTGCATCTCTCAGCCTCCTCTTTAAACTTTGTGCCTTCGTCTTTTTACGACCCATGTTCTGAAACGTGGTGCGTGAAGTTGCAGAGTTGCGCGCGTGGGCTCCCGGCTTGCTTTCACATGGTCGCCTACGTGTTAGCCAGTTGCTCACACATTTCTAAGTGCACAGGGCTTAATGCACATGGTAGTGATTACGATGAGTTCTAGTTTGAGGATATATGCCACCACCTTACGTGGTTGCATTGGGCGACGTGCGCTGCGACTGATCACACAGAGCTCCACTCAAGAGGTGGTGCTCGTCCTGACTCCACAGCTGACGCAAGCCCGTCATCTTGAGTTCACTAATATTATTGCCCTCTTATAGCGTCCCCTTTTCTTCCCGATTGTTCGTGCAATGCGTATGATGCGAGCCTCAGGTTCGAGGCTGCTCGTACTTCTACAGCTTTGATGGCGCGGCGACGTTTTTGAAAAAGAACTCACTGTTGTCCGTGATCCGTGCGCACGAAGCGCAGCTGGAGGGTTACAAGATGCACAAGACAAACCCGAACACGGGCTTCCCGTCGGTCATTACAATCTTTTCTGCGCCCAACTATTGCGACGTGTACAACAATAAAGGAGCAGTTCTCAAATTCGACAATAGCACCTTGAACATCTTGCAATTTAACTGTTCGCCACACCCCTACCACTTGCCGAATTTTATGGGCGTGTTCGGCTGGAGCATGCCTTTCGTCATCGAGAAAGTGACCGAGATGCTGTACTTCATCCTGCAGCCGTCGCACGGGCACTCCGACGACGGCGAGCTGCCCGAGCTGCCCGAGAAAATGAGGGACACGCACCGCGCCTCGCTCTCGGCGGATCAGAATGAGGCTCGGGGTTCATTGAAATTCGACCTCGCGTGAGCGGCCCAGAGTAGGGTGGGTTGATGAATTCTCACGGGTGCCACGGGCATGCCGTCCTTGGTTTTGACTCCGATGTTCATTTGTCGACGCCTCCTGGCTTGGGCCACCTCTGCTCCCAGATGTCCGACGGTGAGTTCTTTTTGTTGTTGTTCAATCCGCGGCCCCAGAGCTCCCGACCGCTTTCTTGGGTGTATTTTTGGGTGGTCCCGGGTCCGAAAATGGTTCATGGATGCCGAAATCAAGGGAAAGCGCAACGATGGAACAAAAGTCAATCCGCTGGAGGTCTGGACTTGCGCCCAAGCATTTGACTTCCAGAGAGGTCGTGGACATCGCGACGAGGCTCGCCCAGCACGTTGAGAAGGGCGGCTTCGAGGGGAAGCGGGACACCAAGGATGACCAGGACCGCATGCGCAAGAAGGTGCGCACGGTGGCCAGGACCTCCGGACGTCTGTGCGCCAGCCGGCTGGGCTGCGTGCTCCGCTTCTCTTCGAGGCGCACGAGAGGGGGGGCCAGCCGAGTCCCTCCGATCGCTTCTGGCTAACCCAGGCCTGGGAGCCACGTGGAGCCCACACACCCAGCCATCTCCCTCCGCTGACCCGGGTTTGGGAGCTACGATGCCACTGGCCGGGGCTCGCGGCGTGGCCTTGGCTGACCCAGGCGGGGGGGAGGGCAGCCCAGACGGTGGGCTGGGCTTGTGGTCACGGGATGTCGTCAGACAACAGGGGAAGAGCTTCTTCTTGCTGCCCGAATCCCTGCCAGGGCCCGTGCCTGCTTGGGCTACTCACAGATGTCCAACCAGCGAGGCAGAGCTGATACAGCCGCCGAGATCGAAAAATGCTCGCTCCATGTGGGCGGGGCCAGCAGTCAATGCAGCAAATCCGATGCTGCTGATGATGATGATGCTGATAATGATGAATAATGACGATGATGATGGTAATGATGATGATGCTGATGATGATGATGATGATGATGATGATGGTGATGCTGATTTTGTTTATGATGATGCTGCTGGTGATGATGCTGATGATGACAATGATTATGCGGATGCTGATGATGAGGATGTTGCTGTTGATGTTGATGATGCTGTTGATGATGATGATTGTGATGCTGCTGATGATGATGCTGATGATGATGGTGATGATGCTGATGCTGATGCGGATGTTGATGCTGATACTGATTATGCTGATGCTGCTGATGATGATGGTGGTGATGATGATGATGCTGATGCTGCTGATGATGATGATGATGATGATGACGATGACGATGATGATGCTGATGATAATGATGCTGATGATGATGCTGATGATTCTGATGATGATGATGGTGATGGTAATGATGATGATGATGATGCTGTTGATGATGATGATGCTGCTGATGATG